GGGTCAAAGTGTTTGAGTAGTCTAGTCACATCAAATTTGTGATTACTTGTTGGATGATTATAAAGATCAGTTGAATGAAGCAGAGAAAGGTATATTTCCATTGCAAAATTATACGAAGATGCTTTCTTTGACACTATCATAGTATCATATAAGATACTAGTTAAAAAAAGAAGAAAATTTAACAGAGCTCATACAAATATACGTGTAGACAATGAACTATAATGAATGGATTTTTTCCATAAATAACCGGTTCAGCTAGACCGGTTATCCAAACCGAACCAACTACTATTTGTTAAACAACAGTGATTTTTGGTTTTGTTTAATTTTAGATCATATGTGATTTATTTAACTAAAATATGAACAAATTTGTTTATTGAGTTGTAATCATTGATCTTTCTCAAACACTAATCGAGAAAACTGCTAAAACAATCATGAATTTATGAGTTTTCAACATAATCAAATGATTTTGGAATTGAGCAAATTTTGAATCTAACAAAGCAAACATACAGTGATAAGATCAATGAAAATCCAACGAGATTACAATCAACAAGGTTTCTCAATGCTGAGTTCTAATATCTAATTTGTGCTCAACTCTACTTTACAATAAAATCTTGAGTCTTCAGGACCAGCAGCTTTGAGGGATCTTTGATCTATAGTACAATACCTATGATCACAAAAGATCGGGTTTTTCTCGCAACCCGAACATTCGATTCATCGACAGGATGTTCTTAATGTCTGTTCTTGACTTCATAAAGTTTCCACTTTGTCAAAAGATTGGAGATCCTCGCCGATTCTTTGAAGTGCGTCTTCACTGATCTCACCTTTTCGGACAAAGCCCTGAAAATTCTTGTTCTTCTCGGCTGCTGCATTGGAAGAACCTTGAACATAGAGCTTCGATTTCATCTCTAAGCAAGATTTGAGATCCTCTTCGGTTCTTGATTTGTTCAGTTTATCGATTATTTCACTCAAAGCTGAAGCTTTCTCTTTCCATTTACCCCTTTTGATCCGTCTTTCGGTTTCATCTGGATCCTTTGAATTACCACCAAAACGTGGTTTCTGAAGCTTCACCAAACCGGCTTTGACAGTCTCCCTGATCCGCTTCTTGAAGCTCTCTGTTCTTTCAGAGTTCGATCTCATCCTCAGTTTCAGCTCTGAAACAATTTTTTCCTCTTTGTTTTGCTCAGAAGCTGCTGCTCCGGAATCCTCTTCAGGTACAGATGTCAATGAAAAGGCTTCTTCGAGTAAATTCACATTACTCATATACCGATCAAAAGCTTCATTTTCCACCTCGATGTTTCTGTCTCTGTATTCTTTTAACTTTGTAAACCGCCACTCATTTAACGCTTGAGCATCCTGGAGAATATAGGCAGAACAACAACTGATAAGAGCAAACCATTGATCGAAGAGTATTGTAAAAGAACTACGTGCTAATTAGTACCTTTATCGTCAAAGGTTTTCTCTGGCGGGAAGCAGCATTCAGGTTATTAAACTGAGCAAAATTGCTAGAAAGTTGCCGGATTGATGAAACTCTAGTTGTAGTCCTGAAGCAGTTTCCAATAAAAGAACGATGTCAAAACAAAGATACCATCTTTCAGTTCCACAAGAACATATACCGCAGCTCAATATTAACTACGCCCAATAAAACAAGAAACTTTAGCAATGTCCTAACAAAGCAAGCAAACCGGTTTACTATCTGAGATTTACTTGCTCGCAGCAGCACATTCAAATCATAAAATAAGAGATACGGTTTGTATATATGTACCCGGGAGTGCCTTCAGATGCTTTCTGCTCTGATGACGGAGTACTTGGCGCCTGCGTCTTCTCAGCAGACGTTGCAGCTGCTTTAAGAACTGCAGCAACAAGAACAAATAAGCCTCATACAAAAAAGCAGTCGATGATAACATCTCTCTTTCTCTCAGCTATCACAGGCACTCTCAAAGAATCAGTCTTACAATACTCTTTCCTAGTTCCGGTTTCCCTATTGGCTCTATTGTTCAGTGATAACCATTGTTCTTAATGCTTAAGTGACAAAGCGAAATTTAACATGAACACTCTACAACTGGTATACCCGAAACAATTATGCTTATCGAAGTTATGAACATAAACACTCTACAATTGGTTTCTTTAGCTGATTATCATCTCAAATTTAACAGCAGAATTGGAGTGAAAACATACCGTGAATCGGGCAAGGGTTTTCTGCTCTTGAACAGCAACCCTTGCAAGATTGAAATGGGCATCTGCATTGATCACATCCAAGCAATAAAATTAATAAACCACTTCCAAGTTATCTCAGAAAACTGATCTTTCTACAATAAAAGCAGAACCCGGAAAAATGAAACTAAAGCTCAAAACTATGAACAAAATGGTACTTGACTAAAACAAGCTCAAGATTTACTAATGAGCTCAGTCACTTAAGAGCTATGCACAAATCCTCAAACACTTCCTTCAGACTCAGCCCCCAAATCACTGAGAATAAACCCTAAATCAAAACGAAACCGAGAAATTCGGACTCCTAAGTCTCCAATCAGATTCATTCCCAACGAATCAGCCTGCAATTTTAAAACTTAGCTACCGAAATCGAAATCTCCGATGCATGAAATCAAATTCAAAAACCAAACAATGCGTAGACACTAC